TGATCATTTCTCAGAGACAAGAACTCTGCACCTTCCCTGTGATAATTAAAAGTCATATTGTAAGTCTAGCTCCAATCACAGAGCAGAAATATCAACCTCAGGCATTACAGGAATGAGGTTCATTCATTCACCAATTCTAAAGACATATATAAAACATTCTTCTAAAACATTTGAGATCATAAAAAGGATATAGAACTGTATAATCAAGCATCCCCAATTTCCTATGAAAAACTCAAAAACCAAACCAAGGGAAACATCTCCATATAATACTTTGGACATTTTACTGAGTTACTATCTCTACTCCAGTGGTTTATGTTTGTTTGTTATTTCTAATGACATGTGTGTCCTCTCCCTTCTCACCCTGGGAATAAGGAATCAAATCTTTCTCTCAGATCACTGCTAACACAGCCAAATGAAATTGCATGTAAAAAAGAGTTCACTAGACAACATACATTCTGAGGAAAGATGCAATTAAAAAAATCTTTAATGCATTTTTCTGTGAACAGCGTCCAGTGCCCTGAGGTGTTCTCCCGCGTAGGAGAAGTCAGGCTGATGGCTGAATGCGCAGGTCAGATTTGCAGAGGAGATCCTCTGGCCTCCAAAGGAGAGTTTATGGATTACAGACTTGGGGGTGGGAAGGAGGAATATGGGACAAAGGCCACAAGGGCAGCTCCCTGTACCTACTACTCCAAGATGCTTGCCATATTCTCACTGACTTGTATTTGTGAAGTTTTGGGCCCATTTGCTATAAAATCAGGAGGAGTGCAGTCATCTTCTTCCCAGGGGGTGGACTGTGGAATTCTTCCCTTCTTGTCTCCAAGGGAAGAATTCAGTGGAGACACAGTAGTTAAAGCGGCAGGGGATTTTTGTCTAACAAAGTGAAAGGAAAGTAAGCTCCAGAGACCAAGGAGGGACTGGCCTCAGGGTGGGTGGCCTCTCCCTGGGCTTTACATGGTGTCTTTTATGGGGGTTTATTTGGTTTCCTCCCTCCCATTTTGTCATTCTCACACTATCTTTTGGATCATCTTGTTGCCTCCCCTTCAGCTTCTTTGTGCAAGGCAGTGTTGATCATTTTCCCCATGAGCATCTAAGAGAAACACATGGTGGGGCCCAAACTGTAATGTACATGATATCATAGTGATAGTATTATGGCCTCAGGGTCCTCAGCAACAAGGTCTTCCTTAAGTGTGTGCTCTAAAATTGGGAACGTCCCTGTGACCCATATCTTTTTGAGACAGGGACCTTGGATGTAGTCAGAGTAGGGTGAGGGCCTCTGGAGGGGGCAGGGCAGGATATTTGTGGTTAGAGCAATGTAACTACATGCAAGGAAACCCCCCTACTAAAACTCTATGTTAAACATTGAGCTCTAGAATCATTCTTCAGTGAGATCAGTTAATGTTCCCCAGATAAAGAAGAGTAGCACATGTTTTATTATGCAAATCATTTGTAACCATGTGTAAGATTCACTTTAGCATGCTAAAAGGCCCAGACCTATGTGCTGTCTTTCCTCCTTCAGATCTGACAAGGTGATTTTGCAAACTGGGCAACTAACTTAGCATGCAGACCCAGCTGTAGACGACATGGTAAAAGGCAGGAAGAATTCCATCTTAAAGATAAGATTGCATTTTAACACCCAGGAAGTTCAAGAGGCAAGATTCTTTAGCAAGTAGACAATACCTCGGCCCACCTTGGGGTCTGGGCAGGCAGCCTTTTGATATGCTCCCAGACCAAGGCGCCGGTGTCCCAGAGAGAAATCAAGGCAGGAAATTCCTTACAGTTAAGTTGATTTTTAATATTCAGGGACCACTTAACAAGTCCACACCCCTAAACTCTTTTTCACATTCTCCAAAAATCCTCAACTGCCTTTAAAACCCCCTAGACAACGCACCACTATGGCCTCTCTTGTCCCCTCCTGGCGTGAGCCGGGAGCTCTGTCCTTTCACTTTATCTCTAAATAGAAGCCTGTACCTTGCTCTCCTACCTTGACTGTTTGTGAAGCTCATTCTTTGGCTCCGCAAACAAGAACCCCAGCATCATTTTGATTATTAGTTTGCCCTGAACTGCAAAAGAGATTAGTCTAAGGAAGATGGGAGGCCACAGGGTGGAAAGAGGATGGAGACTGGGTGGGGACCAGGTGGCCTGCCTTGCCCCATTCTCCGCTCCTACTCATACAATCTTAAACTTAAAATAGAAAGGCCTAACCTGAGAAAACTGTTGGGAAAGGGACATGTTGATTGTTCCTGAAGAAACGCTCATCCACACCAGCCATATATAAAATTTAACACAAAATGGACCAAAGACTAGAAACATAAGAGCTAAAACTATAAAATTTCAGATGAAAACACAAGGGAACAGCCTCATGATATTGGATTTGTATTTTATGGTAGTGTTTTAGGTGGGATACCAAAAGAACATGCAGCAAATACAGAACAGATAAATGGGACTTTATCAAAATTAGAACTTTGTGCATGAAAGGACACTATTAACTTAATGACGAGGCAACTCGCAGAATTAAAATAAAATTAGCAAAACATGTTATAAGAATATACTAATTTATCCTCCATTTACCCCATGGTCCCAAGCACATAAGTTGGTGAGAATCATGCCTGGACTTGTCTGGACTTCCCTGGGCTTACCCCACCTTATTTCTAAACATCCCGACCCTCCCCCAAGGCAACAGGTCGAGTGGATACAATAAAAGGCACAACGCTCAGTACCACGCTGCTTCCCCCGCCCCTCGGGCAGCCACTTTCTCTTTCAGATAATAAAATCTCTTGCGTGGGCCGTGTCTCCTGAGTAGTTCTGGGTAAGGAGGGTCGCGGCGAGATACCCTTTCACATGTCAGGTTGGAAACCTATGTAATGCTGTTAGAAATGTAAAATGGTGCAGTGATTGTGAAAACTCTAGACAAAATTAAACCTAGAATTACCCTATCCAGCAATTTCACCTGGGGGTGTATACCCAAACAACTGACAACAGAGTCTCAAAAATTTGTCCAACAGCAGCATGATTCAAATTAGCCAAGTGTGGAAATAACCCATATATCCATCAGGGAGGACTGGAGAAACCAAACGTGGAATTCCTACAATGGAATATGACTCACCTTTTAAGAAGAGGAAATTCTGACACAGGCCACAACATGGATGGACCTTGAAGAAATGATGTAAAGTGAAATGCGAGACACCAAAGGACAAATACAGGACTGCACTTATGTGAGGAACTTAGGTGTGTCAGATTCATAGTGACAGAAAGTAGAATGGTGGGGGCCGGGGCTGGGGAAAGGGAGGAATGGAGAACTATTTTTAATGGGTTTCAGTTTGGGAAGATACACTTCTGGAGACTGATGGTGGTCATGTTTGCACAACAATGTAAATTTACTGAATGCCACTGAATTGTACACATAAAAATGGTTAAAACAGACATTTTTATGCTTAGTACATATTAAACACAGTAAAAAATACAGAAATTTCATTGTGCTTCTAGAAGGTTTTCAGTTTAAGCTTAAGTGGAAATTAGTTTACAAGTCCACATGAGCTGTAATTCCAATTTTATAAAAAATTCAAAATATACATATAAAAAAGCCAGGCGTGAAGACACATGGATATTAATGAATATTTTTCTACAAGGAATTTTCTACAATACGCTTTTTATGTAACAAAAAAGAACAAACATGTACAACGTTTCTGATTCATGCTCCTTAAATTCTTAATTATAGAAATTTATATATGAATATATTTTTCTTCCATTCAAAACGCGTTAATAAACTCGTGTATTGGCATTAAATATATATTGAAGAAAAATCATTGAAATAAGTCATTAAAACAATTAAATACAGGAAAGCTCATTGGAACTAGAGGAAGATATAATCCGTAACACAGAGTTGGCAGGAAAAGCAGTTGCTACTTTACTATTTTCTAAACAATTTTTTTCTAGAACAAACTCATTTCTGGGGGTTGGAGAAAGGCTTGAAAGCGACGAAAACTCCCTGACTGGGGGAGACAGGAAAAGAGCATCACGAGATGCCGCCCCTTCCCCGACACCGTCCAGCCCGGCCCCTTTCCTTCTGAGCACTTGGGCCGTGTCGCGACCCCAGATGGGGGGAGGCCTCTCGACCCCACATTCCTCCACCCCATCCTGAAAGAGTGAGAGCACCTCTGCCGTGGTCCTGCACTCCTCCCCCGCCCGCCTTCCCTGAGAAGAAGCAGGAACCCCTAGACTAGATCAGGCTGGTCTCAGCGCTCCCGGCACGTTAACCAAAAACTCAGGTCGCGCGGGTGACGCCGAAGACCCCTGTGGGCCTCTGTAAACTTCTCCCTGAACGGCCACCCAGGGCGCGAATCAGGTAATTGGTGCATCCGGGACCCCAGGGAGGGGCCGGACTCTCCTCAGCGAGGTCTTGAACCCCGCTGGCCTCTCCCGGTCCACTGAGGAAGCCCGCCCTGCCCCGGGACCTACTGGGATGGAGCCCTGCAGCACGCGGGGAGTCCGGTGCGGGGAGGCCCGCCCACAGGCCGGATCATCCAATCGCTGAGCGGTCCGGTGGTGGGCGGGGCCGGCGGGCCGAATCTCTGGCTTTAAAAGGCCGCCTCAGGAGCGCCGCCTCCGAAATTGTGGACTCGGACCTGCCCGCTGCACCTGCGCACCTACGCCCTCCGAGTGTGGGTGTCCCCCGACCCGGGACTGACGTTGGGGGCTACCCGGGATGGAGGGGGGCAGTCCCAGGAAACACCTTCCGTGGGCCGCCCGCGCCGCACTCCGCCGCCTGAGCCCCTCACCCTTTGCGGCGCGGCCCGCCGCTCCCTGCACTGTCCGCAACAGTGTCTACAAGCTCTTCCCACAGCCAGATGCGTCCCGGCCCTGTGTAAATGCTGCTGAGGATGCGTTAAGTGTTCTCACTCCACCTCGTGGCTCTAAAATCTCAGAAGAAAGTAGTGTGACTTCTTAAGAAGGATTGGTCTCGTCAGATACTCATTTCTTTTCCTTTCCTTAGGTTTGGAAACATGCATCCTTCACTCCTCCTGCCTGTTCTGTGTTTGGGAATAGCCTCGGCTGCTCCACCAGTTGACGGTGGCTTGGATGCACAGTGGTCCCAGTGGAAGACAACACACGGGAAACACTATGGCAAAGTAGGTAACATCTGAAACTGCCCAGAGGGCCTCCGCCGAGAGTGGGCATTGCTGTTGGGCATTTATAGCAGAGAGTAGCTTCTTGAGGCCACCTCTCACCAAGGCAATAACCGTGGCACCCACTGCTGAGCACAGTGTGGGATATATGCCCTTATATGGTCGCTGGAGATCAGCAACCAGAAGTATAAGGCTGTCCTGGCCACGGTTTCTCTTCCACTCTGTAAATCCTCGGGGTAGAGGTGGATTGGTTTTAAATAGAAATAAAGATGATGGGTGATGTTTGTCTCCAGAATGAAGAAAGGTGGAGACAAGCAGTGTGGGAGAAGAATCTGAAAATGATTGACAAACACAATCAGGAACACGACCTAGGGAATCATAGCTTCTCAATGGCAATGAATGCCTTTGGTGACATGGTGAGCGTGGTGTGGATTGCTGAATTGTGGGTTCTTCCTCTCCTCGGTACTTTACCGTAAAATCTCTTCCTTTTCTTACATCCTATTTCTTTTTGCTTGAAGACCAATTAAGAATTCCAGCAGGTGATGAATTGCCTTCAAAAACAGAAGTACAGGAAGGGGAAAGTGTTCCCAGAACCTCCCCTTGCAGAGATCCCCCCATCTGTGAACTGGAGAGAAACAGGCTGTGTAACTCCTCTGAAGGATCAGGTAGGACACTACTGAGCAGATCTCTGTCCAAGAATAAAGCCAAAAAGAAATTGGTGTTCTTGCCTTGATACACTGTGGAATATGCAATTCGCTATTTTTTTTTTAATTTTTATTTTCATTTTTTTTGAAGAACATTATGTTTACTAGGCTCTCCCCT